GCCAGGAGGGCGAAACCCCATCTCTAGTAAAAACACAAAGATTAGCCAGGCGCAGTGGCAGGGGCCTGTAGTCCCAGCTACTAAGGAGGTCGAGGCTGCAGTGAGTCAAGATCACCACTGCACTCCAGCCTGCCTGACAGAGACAGACTCCGTCTCAAAAAAAAAAAAGAAATAGAAAGTAAAAAAGAAATTGTAAGAAAATTGGAGCAATGTGGTCGCTGGATATATTTATTGGCCGGGTTTCCTTCTTTCTTCCTTCCTTTTTTCTTTTTTGAAACAGCATCTTGCTCTGTCGTCCAGGTTGGAGTGTAATGGCGCTACCTTAAATCACTGCAACCTCTGCCCCTGGGTTCAAGCAATTCTCCTGTCTCAGCCTCTCAAGTAGCTAGGATTACTGGCGCCGACCACCACGCCCCGATAATTTTTTGTATTTTGCACTTTTTGTATTTTTTGCCATGTTGGCTAGGCTAGTCTCAAACTCCTCACCTCAGGTGATCCGCCTGCCTCAGCCTCCCAAAGTACTGGGATTACAGCCGTGAGCCACCACGCCTAGCCAGGTTTCTTAATGAATAATTGTAATGTGGCTATCTTTTCAGAGTCGTTATCTTTTACACATACATATTTACAAAACTGAAATGATACATCTGCGATTTGCTTGGCAAAAGTGGAACCAAGGAATTGTGAGTAGGGATGAAACAAGATTGGCCATGTGTTAATAACTGCTGAGGCTGAGTGGGGAGGGTTTATTATTATCTTTCTTTTTTATGTATTTGGAATTTTCCACAATAAAAATAATTAATAGTATGACCTATAATAGATGTATTCATATACGGAGTGGTAGAAAAAAATTCATTCTAAATGCCCACCAATAAGGAAATGATTAGATAAATGAATACATAAACTCTGGATTACACAGTCATTAAATTGTGCTTAACAAAGACCACATGATTAGCACAAGGAAATAATTTTACATCCAAAACAAAAAAAAAAGCCAAATGTTAAGAAATACATGTATATGAACTTTAATTAAACTGGAAGCTAAGGGCTGGGTACAGTGGCTCATGCCTGTAATCCCAGCACTTATGGAAGCCGAGGGGGCATGGATCACTTTAGGTCAGGAGTTTGAGACCAGCCTGGCCAACATGGTGAAACATCTTCTCTACTAATAGTACAAAAATTAGCCAGGTGTGGTGGCGGGTGCCTGTAATCCCAGTTACTTGGGAGGCTGAGGCAGGAGAATTGCTTGAGCTAGGGAGGCAGAGACTGCAGTGAGCTGAGATTGTGCCATTGCCCTCCAGCCTGGACGACAGAGCAAGACTCTGTTTCAAAAACAAAACAAACAAACAAAAAAAAACTAAAGGCAAGGCCAGGTGCAGTGGCTCAGGCCTGTAATTCTTACACTTTGGGAGGCTGAGGTGGGTGGATCACTTGAGGTCAAGAGTTCAAGACCAGCCTGGCCAACACGGTGAAACCCCATCTCTACTAAAAATACAAAAATGACCTTGCATGGTGGCACATGCCTGTAATACTAGCTACTTAGAAGGCTGAGGCAGGAGAATCACTTGAACCCGGAAGGTAGAGGCTGCAGTGAGCGAAGATTGCACCACTGAACTCCAACCTAGGTAACAGAGTGAGACTCTGTTTCAAAAAAAAAAAAAAAAAATCTGGAAGGCAATGCATTAAAATATTAGCTTTGCATAATAGGATTATGCATAACCATCTTTCCTAATGAAAATATAATTGTGGACTCAAGAGGTTTCCTTACAATCCTTCACATTTAATGAAACACATCTAATACCTGTAATATTTCAAAGTAATTATTGAAATGCCCAATGCTAACATTAGTTTGTCAGTGGCAAAATTAAAATATTATTTTCAGACATGGCCAACTGTAGCGTTCTGCTGCCCACTGGAGAGTAATTTATATAATACTAATATCCAGCATCCTCAAAAACATCCTTTCATCCCCAGGGTCTTTGTTTAATCCTTTAAATAAAAAACTTAACCTCAAGCTTTAAATGACAGGAATGGCTTCCATCCTCTATCGATTTTTTATTTAGAATGTAGTGTCTAGGAGTCTCACATGATTCATCTTGGAAAAATAAAAGTACCTTTTCATTTTTACATATTTTACTGTTTAAACATTTATAAATGTATGTGTACATACATGCACACACACAAAAAGTCTGGAAGGCATAAACCAAATTGTCAGTAGTCGTTCCCTCAAGGTTATGGGGTAAGTAAAGTCAATTTTAATTTTCTACTTTTTCTGCAATGAATGTGGATATGGTTTGGCTTTACGTTCCCACCCAAACCTCATGTGGAATTGTAACCCCAGTGTTGGAGGAGGGGCCTGGTGGGAGGTGATTGGATCATGGGGCCGACTCCCCCCTCAATGCTGCTTTTGTGATGGTGAGTGCTCAGTTGTTTAAATGTGTGTGGTACCTTCTCCTTGGCTCTTTCTTCCTCCTATTTCTACCATGTAAGACATGCTGACTTCCCCTTTGCTTTCCGCCATGATTGTGAAGTTTCCTGAGGCATCCCCAGAAGCAGAAGCCTACACAACCTGCAGAACCGTGATCCAATTAAACCTCTTTTCTTTATAAATTACCCAGTCTCAAGCATGTCTTTATAGCAGTGCAAGAAAAGACTAATACAAATGTGTTACTTATAATGCAAAAACCAGTAGGGCTTTACAGTCAGTCACAGCCACCCTATAAATAACAAAAACAAGATAAAGGCTGGGTGCTGTAGCTCACACCTATAATCCCAGCACTTTGGGAGGCCAAGGTGGGTAGATCACCTGAGGTCAGGAGTCTAAGACCAGCCTAACCAACACAGCAAAACCCCATCTCTACTAAAAATATAAAAATTAGCAGGGCATAATGGCACATGCCTATAATCCCAGCTACTCCAGAGGCTGAGACAGGAGAATCACCTGAACCTGAGAGGTGGAGATTGCAGTGAGCTAAGATGATGCCACTGCACTCCAGCCCATGCGACAGAGAAAGACTCTATCTCAAAAAAGAAAAAGAAAAAAAATTACCAATGTATTCACTTGAATTCTGGCTTTTGAAAAAGTGTTGAGAGTTCACAGTCGTTTAAAACCAATGTTTTAAACGTTGGTTAAAACCAACAGGATATGAGAAAACAGCATTTGGGCATTCTATCTGTTCTTATTTTCCAGAACTTAAGAAGTGCAGGTATATAAAACATCCCAATTTACATGGTCATTTACTTGAGAGAAAAAGTATTTACTTTTCATTTTACAAGTACTGAAAGTAATTTTAAAGTGACTTTGTAACAAAAGCATATTATTTAATTCAGCTGAGTACAACATACTAACTCTCAAAGCCAGAGGGAAATCTTAAGTTCAGTTATGTAATAATATTCTCCCAATACTCCAAAAGTATAACCATTTCATAGTGAAAATGGAGGATTTTCTTATCAGTGAATACTGACTCCAATTCAGTGATACTGATATAGATAGCAAGCTACAAAGCAACTTACTAGTAAATGAAGCCAAATGCCATACAAGCTGTACTTTAAAAACAAATGATGCACTAGTCATTAGGGAAATATAAATCCAAACCACAATCACAAGTAGGATGGCTATACTAAAACATCAAAAGAGGTTGGGCATGGTGGCTCACACCTGTAATTCCAGCACTTTGGGAGGCCGTGACATGATGGCAGGCACCTGTAATCCCAGCTACTCAGGAGGCTGAGGCAGGAGAAGCACTTGAACCCAAAGGTGGAGGTTGCAGTGAGCCGAGATTGTACCCCACACTCCAGCCTAGGTAACAGAGCAAGAATCCATCTCAAAACAAAACAAAACAATGTTGGTGAGAACGTGAATAAATTGGAACGATTGTGCCCTGTTGGTGAAATGTTAAATGGTGCAGAAACAGTATGGTGGTTCCTCAAATTATTAAAAATAGAATTATCACATGATCCAGCAATTTCACTTCCAGTTATATACCCAAAAGAATTAAAAGCAGGGTCACAAGATATGTGTACACTCATGTTCACAGCAGGGTTATCCAGAACAGCTAAAAGGTAGTACCAACCCAAGAGTTCATCAATAGAACGGATAAGCAAAACGTGGTCTATACATACAATAGATTATTCACCCTTAAAAGGAAAGAAATTCTGACCAGGCGCGGTGGCTCATGCCTGTAATCCCAGCACTTTGGGAAGTGAGACAGGTGGATCACCTGAGGTCAGGAGTTTGAGACCAGCCTGGCAAACCTGGTGTAATCCTGTCTCTACCAAAAATACAAAAATTAGCCAGGTGTGGTGACGTGAGCCTGTAATTCCAACTACTCAGGAGGCTGAGGCAGGAGAATCGCTTGAACCTGGGAGGCAGAGGTTGTGGTGAGCCATGATCCTGCCACTGCACTCCAGCTTGGGGGACAGAGTGAGACTCCGTCTCCAAAAAAAAACGAGGAAGGAAATTCTGACACCCTCTATGATATCAGTGAACCTTGAGGGCATTGTGCTAAGTGAAATAAGTCAAAGGCTGGGCGAGATGGCTCATGCCTGTAATCTCAGCACTTTGGAAGGCTGAGGTGGGCAGATCACCCGAGGTTGGGACTTTGAGACCAGCCTGACCAACGTGGAGAAACCACATCTCTACTAAAAATACAAAATTAGCCAGTCGTGGTGGTGCATGCCTATAATCCCAGCCATTCAGGAGGCTGAGGCAGGAATATCGCTTGATAACAGGTCACACTGAATGGCAGAAAATACAGTATTGCTTTTAACTACTCTGTGCAAGGGATAAATGACTAAGGGCCTTGTACCTCGTTTCCTCCCCTTCTCTGAGATCAGTGGTCTGAGCACTTTAGGAGCTTATAATGCAGGTGCAAGGAGCTAGGAATCACAGGTGCAGCTTGCATTTCAACCTTTAAGATCAATTGGTTAGCGTCCTTTGACCACAGCTCTTCTCAATTTCTTTAGTACAGTCTTAACTTGATATGAAGCACTTACACGAGGAATGGTGCAGACAAGGAGGCAGCTTTATTGTACTTTGGGGGAAAAAAACATGATTCCATTTAGTGGGGGAGAAAAGCCATTGACACTCAGTATGCAACACTGCCATCTAGTGGAATGGTGACACACCACCAAAACTTTCAAGACCAGATAGGAAACGTGAGTGCATTTAGTTTCAATTTTCACCATAAAATAGCACTTTTAATAAGCTGGTTTTCGGAGAACCTCAGATTTTTTTTCAGAAACTGCTTTTATCGTTAAAATGCACAGGTATGTGCTTTGTTTTTGGTGGGGCGTTAAGAATGAGTTGTAATATTTTTATTAGACCATAAAATTAATTGTCAACTTGAAAGTTATAAAACACTTTGGGGCAACCTGCCTCTTTGAACACCCATCACTTCGGCTTGACAGTCGAACAGCAACCCCTGATTATGACAGCAGTTTATAAAGAAGCAAAACTCAACTGTACAAGAATGACATTAAGTTTTCTCATTTCCTCTATTTTTACAATCTATGGTGCTAAGTATTTGTACTTCACTTATTTGAATTTCTGAAAAAAATTATTAGAACACACCAATAACAATTTTGCATAAATCACTTAACCCAACTCTTATTATGACTGCACAGTAACAGTGGAAGATATTGGTGTGAGGATGTGGGAATGCAGTTCTTAATGAATAATCAAGCAATTCTTCTCCAGGTTTTAATTCACCTTTATACCCACATGTTGCAGTGAATGTGTTGATTTGATGACTTCTACGAGCATATAAATGAGAATACTTAATGAAACACCTGGATGAAAAAAGAAAGAAAGTTGTGAGAATAACATATTGCTAATAACCACAATCTCACATCGGCATTTCTGTTATTACTGAGATATCAAATTCTGGGTTAAGAGCTCTGCTCTTTGGAATATCCACGATAGTTATTGATCTTGCTAATGGTTTCCTCTATTGCAACGTTTCTGGGTTTATGGTTGGAGGCACTCACGGATTCCAGAATGCATGAGTCTGACATGGTCTTCATCAAACCATAGTCTTGGCAAATAATAAACCCCGTTAAGGATTTCAGGGAAGAGCCAAGCTCTAGGAGAGAGGTATTCAAGTGTAGAGTAAGAAGTGGAATTAAAACATTTTTAGTTGCATTGTCTGTAGACGAAACTGAATGTTTCAATTCTGAGAACCTGAGATTGTCCAGAAAAAGTTAGTTCAGTGTGTGGGACATGAACAATCAAGGTTATTTTGCGTTTCTCACAGCAGCATTAACTGGGGAGTGGGGATGGTACCTGAAGTACTATATCTCAATGAGGCTGGGGTTGTGGGGTGGTTTTTTTTTTTTTTACTGCCTCAGCATTCAATGCAATTTGCAATCATCTCCCATTCCCCCAGTCTGAAGCCTTCTTTCTCCCATATTCAAATTGTCTGCGTCATTCACATAATGCTACTATTTGGGCACTCCTGAAGCCAAAGCAATAAAAAATGCTAGGGGAGCCTTATATTAATTGAAACATGATGCCAAAGTCATCTCCAAAAAAGTTTATTAGCATGATTAAAAACATTTTCTTGAATAGTAACAAAGAATTTCTAAGCATGAAAGAATATCAGTGGCTAAACCTTAAAACCAGTATTTGGAACTGAATGGACAGCTTTATTGCCAGTCTTCATTTTATTAAAAACAATCCATTGATTGGCTCCATGAAGTCGTGACTATTGCTTTGTCTGGGAATGAGTCCCCACTGCAATTAAGTATAAAAAATATCTTCCATCATAATTGGAGTGTGACCTGCATTAGAGAGTGGCTCTAACTGAGTAAAGAGTTGATAAAAATCCACAAAGAGTTGGGGTTTTCTCTTTTAAAAACATTCCTTTACACACTACAAAGAAATAATTAGTATTTTGGCTTTTAAAATTCCTACATGATATTTAGAATGGCGGTCCCCAAGGGTCCTCCCTTCACATAATTGTGAATGCAGACCCCCTTCTGAGGGCACATCCCGGAGGGTGCGGACTCTGAAGACTTCGACCTCCCCGTGTTTATACTGGTTTGAGAACAAAGACAGCGTCATCCAGAACGTAGTAGTCATTATACATGTCACCTTCACACAGGTATGGCAGTCTGGTGAAAGCTTCAATAACAAAACCGGCTTTTCTGAAAACTTCAGGCAGACTATTCACTTGTTCTTCCCAGTTCTGTCCCTTGATTTCCAAAATTTCTGATGGTTTCTCCCACTTGCCACCTACTAATACAAATAAAAACATTCAGTTAAATTCTTGAACAAACAAGTGATTTTAAAAAGGGAAGTGGGGAGGAGCCATATCTGTCAATGCCTTGGTATGTTCCAGGCCTGAGGGCTTCATAAGTTACCTTTTACACTTACCAGGTACTCCTTGAGACAGATGGACACAGAGATAAATAACAGACTCAGAAGGGCTGAAGAACTTCCCCACACTTGCAAGGTTAATGAGTGTCAGTATGGAAAGGTAAGCCCGGTTTGTCTGGATCCAAAGCCCACACTGTTATCTTCTCTGACGGTTTTGGGTAGTAACTGCCAATAGACTGACTGGGGAGTGTAATGGTTAATGGGTTTGGAAAACTGGCCATTAAACGCTGGAATACTGAAACAGAGAGCAACATGTAATATTTGAAAGAGGGTTTTGGACAAATGCAAGAAAATACCACTGGTTGTAGTAAACTTATGCAACTTATTACCTAGAGAGATTTATTAGGCTGAAAATAAAAATAGGCTCATGTAGGATTTTAATTTATACAAACAGATCATCGAAGAGTTTCTCAAGGGAAGTTGACCCATTCCCTGCCTTTTCCGAACAAGTTTATAAACATTAAGCTCCAGGACCAGAGAGATGGAACACCAGGATGGATGCACCCTCTGGCATTTCTTGGACTAGAGATGAAGTCTCTTTCAGTCATTTCCAAACCTATGAGCAGGAGATGCCTGGGGGACAAGGGGATTAGGTAAGGTCCTCTAATTCACATACGAACCCGGCATTGACTACAGACAAACACACAAAGATGACAACATATTTAACTTTGGGGGTGGTTTTTAGGTGCTATGGTGATACAAAAACTACATATATCCTTTGAAGTGTTAAAACCAGACTGAGAATAGCTTTCTGTTAATTAGAAAATATAACATGAGCAGATGCCAAAGGCACAGACACCACGGCGGAGAGGTTATTCCATAATTTTCAGTGGCGCAGATGACGCTCTTCCCATGTCTGGGGAATTGTCTGCCCAGAGTCTGGGAGAGGGGCAAGGCTTGGGAGCCGGCTTTCCTGGCCTGCCAGGCAGCTGAGGCACTGGCACGCAGCCTGAGCCAGGCACACTTGCCGGAGCCCTAGAATGAAGAGCCAGTGACCCAGAGCAGTGGGGACATGAGCTTCTCCATCTCTGGGAGTGGAGCAATGGTGGTGAAACCAAGGGGCCAGGGCAGTGGCTGAGGGATGCTGACGACAGGGCTGACGGCACCCAGTGCTTGGCAGTGGCAGCAGCATGCTCTTCAGACCTGTTAACTGTGATTTGGGGCATTCTTCCTGGCTGTAGATCCCACACAAGGTTCACTAGCCCTCCGAGTGACTCTAGGAGCTACCCCTAAATGCTTGCAACAAATTTCCTTTTGCTTAAGTCAGCCTGAGTCTGTTTCTGCTGCTTACAAAGAAGAGCCTTACTCAATCACTGCTAGGCATCGGGGGAGAGACACGGAGGACAGAGGGCCCACATATTGTTTCTCAACACATTAAAAGACGTCTCTGGGCCAGGGTGGCTCATACCTGTAATCCTAACACTGGGAGGCCAAGGCAGGAGGCTTGCTTGAGGCCAGGACTAGCCTAGACAACATACAATCTACAAAAAATTAAAATTAGCTGGGCATGGTGGTGCATGCCTGTAGTCCCAACTACTCATGAGGATGAGGCTGCAAAGGGCCACAGTCTTGCCACTGTATTCCAGCCTTGGTGAAAGAGACCCTGTCTCAAAAAGGGGGGAGGGGGGAGGAAGGTGTTTTGGATTCAAAACTGGTATACAACTAGTTAATAAAAGACAATTTATTTCTTCGCTGCACTAGAATGTGTTGTTTACTAACTCTTCTCTTGTCTCTGCCTGAAGCCACTTCTCCTTCTACTGTTTCTTTGTTCCCAGCAGTTACTGGCCCAGAGTGGGACCCACAGCAGGTAGCCTGGACAGTGACTGAACTGTTCTAAAAAAATCCAAGTACAAATTGTCTGTCAAACGACACTCCTTCTTCCTGGGAATATGTGCTACGTGTAAATCAAAATCCAGGAATATCTAACACCTATGAGGACTGTAGAATCCATGGAAAAAAATGATACACACATTTCTAAATGTGCTCCAGGTCAAAATCTCAATGTCAAATGGTGAAGCTGAGTTACAAACCATCCTTACACAATTTCAAAAATTTCCTGATTATGGTTGCTTCATAAGAGGTTCCTCTCTTCAGCGCTTCCCTTCTGAAAAAAAGAAAGCCAACTTTTCTTTTGAATACACACCCCAACCCGCCCCAGCACACACAGAAATGGGGACTGTGAGCAGAAGCAACCTCGCTCGCCATCTGCAAACCAATCTCATTCTATTTTATGTCGGTAAGGTTCGTTTTCTCCTCCTCCTTCATTTTATTTAAATCACTTGCTATTTTTCACCTAATGCATTTATATTTTAAGCTCCTTCAGATTAATTTTTAAATGTATAACATTATGGAAATTGCCTAAGGGGATAGGTTTCCTTTTTCCCCTAAGAAATAGATAACAAAAAAAAACAGCTGAGAAAAAGTTTCATATTAACCTTGAAAAGTCTCTGTGCTATTATGATGCTTTGGAGACGATCTGACTAAACAAAGGGTTGAAGATATTATTAAAATAATATGTACACGTCATCAACAACTTAATTGTCATACAAACTTGATGTACACATAGAAAGCATTAAACAATATTTGCTGAAGAGTTTCAAAGAACAATTTCTATAAAAGTACTTTTCATTTAAGAAAAAAAAACTGCCATGACTCCTTCTATAGAGAATAGCCATCCCATAATATATTTTTTAAATTTCGCCTACTCCTGTTTTTTATCTATGAAAGAGAAAGTATTTTCATTGCATCTAATAATCTCAGATTTTCCCACACAATTCGGATTATAGGGCAGGGAAGGGGGCAAAGTTCTTAAATTTAATTTTTTCTCATATGTAAAGAAATACATCAAAATGTTAATGGGCGTTATTTCAGGCAAAAGGACTAGGGGTGACTTTTTGCTTCTATTTTTGATAATCTGTTTCATTTCCTAGTAAGTATATATTACTTTCATAGACTTTTAATTAGCATTATTTTAAAGAAGAAGAATTCCCTTTTAGATATAGATTCTGAAAGATATTTGCAAATATAATGGCTGGGATTCGCTCTAAAATAATATGGGCATGAGGGAGTAGATGGGAGGAGAAAAAAAAAGAGAGTGGAAGCCATGTGATGGCAGGGATGACTGTACTATCTGCCGCTTCGATATGTTAGAAATTTGAAACCTAATATAATAATAATTTTTTTTAAAGCGTTGGGCTGGGCATAGTGGTTCACGTCTGTAATCCCAGCACTTTTGGGGCCAGAGTGGGAGGAGAGCTTGAGCCCAGGAGTTCAAGACCAGCATGAATAACATATAATGAGACCACCCATTTCTACACAATAAAAAAATTAGCTGGGCGTGATGGCATGCACCTGAAGTCCCATCTACTTGGGAGGCTGAGGCAAGAGGACCACCTGAACCCAGGAGTTTGAGGTTGCAGGGAGCTATGATCATGCTACTGCACTCCAGCCTAGGCAACAGAGCAAGACACTTACTTACTTTTTACTTACTAGATAGACAGCTTTGTTTAAATGTCAAGAATTAGTTTTCTACTTACTTTCAATGTGGTTTGTTGTTTTTTTTGTTTTTGTTTTTGTTTTTGAGATGGAGTCTTGCTTTGTCACTCAGGCTGGAGTGCAGTGGCATGATCTCAGCTCACTGCAACCTCCACCTCCTGGGTTCAAGTGAATCTCCTGCCTCAGCCTCCTGAGTAGCTGGGATAATAGGCCCCGGCCACCACGCCTGGCTAATTTTTGTATTTTTAGTAGAGACAGGGTTTCACCATGTTGGTCAGGCTAGTCTCGAACTCCTGACCTCATGATCTGCCCACCTTGGCCTCCCAACGTGCTGGGATTACAGGCATGAGTCACCTCGCCTGGCCAGTTTTTTAAAATAATAAAAATAATCTTTTTATTCCCCCCACCGAGGAAATAAATCTTCAACCTTTTCATTGGATACTGTGTTTAAAAAACAAATCCTAGTCTATGCAGATTCTTAAAAGAAATTTTTCACAGGAGCAGGCTGTGGTGTGACATATCCAAACTTCTCTTTTTTGTTAATATGTTGCCTAAGTGGTGGGGGAGGGAACTGCAGTTTTGTCACAAGTCCCTGCTCACATAGGAAACCACTGCAGTTGGTTTTCTCCCGCACTCAGACTAATTGGTAAAAAGGTAGAAATAAGCAGAGATATGAAATTCCAAAGCTACAAATACCTTTTTTTTATCCTATATTGCTAGTTTTTAAAGAAAAGTGTTAAAAGTCAGCTCCTCCCAATTCTTTTTTTTTTAAAACAAGAGTCTCACTCTGTCACCCAGGCTGGAGTGCAGTGGCACAATCTTGGCTCACTGCAACTCCGACTTCCTGTGTTCAAGCAATTCTCCTGCCTCAGCCTCTCAAGTAGCTAGGGATTATAGGCATCTGCCACCACACCTGGCTAATTTTTTGTATTTTTAGTAGAGATGGGGTTTTACCATATTGGCCAGGCTAGTCTTGAACTCCTGACCTCAGGTGATCTGCCCACCTCAGCCTCCCAGAGTACTGGGATTACAGACGTGAGCTACCACATCCAGCCTCTATTCCTTTGATAGAGACAGGGCCGCACAATGCTACCCAGGCTAGAGTGCAGTGGTGGCATCAGAGCTCACTGCAGCCTGGAATTGCTGGGCTCAATCAGCCTCCCGCCTCAGCCTCCTGAATAGCTGGGACTAATGGGCACACCATGACACCTGGCTCCTTAGATCCCTTTTTAAAACACTAACTGATTTGGAAGGCTGAGGTGGATAGACTGTTAGAGCTCAGGAGTTTGAGACCAGTCTGGCCAACATGGCAAAACCCTGTTTCTACTAAACATAAAAAAAAATTAGCTAGGTGTGGTGGTGCATGCCTGTAGTCTCAGCTATTCCAGAGGCTGCGGTGAAAGGACTGCTTGAGCCCAGGAGGCAAAGGCTGCAGTGAGCTGAGATCACACCACTGAATTCCACTCGAACTCCTGACCTTGTGATCTGCCCACCTCGGCCTCCCAACGTTTGGACAACATGGTGGGACCCTATCTCAAAAATAAAAATAAAAATAATGTGTAAATAATGGAATCATCCACTGTTTAAAAATAATTATCCGAAAGATGACTTGAGATTGAGATACTGCTTAACCTTGCTAAGTTTTGGCAGACCCAATTTCATTTTAAATTTCTAGTCAGTAAATACTATAAAATGTTTCACTGTACTTGTAAGGTGCTTGAGTCTGGGCAGGAGACATGAGGTTGTATTTCTCAGACTTGAGAGAGGATACAGTCCCCTTGGCTGGAAACGGCACTGAGCTAGGTCTCCCACAGACCTGAAGCTCTGAGAAGCCTGCAGGCCTCCTCCAGCTGGTTGTACCCTCTTGTTGGTTTGCATTTATCAGGTCACTACAAAGCTCCCAGCTCATCTCACATGGCATAAATACCAAAATATAACATGATGAGAAGAGAGCCAGACGCGATGGCTCACACCTGTAAACCCAGCACTTTGGGAGGCCAAGGCAAGCAGATTACTTGAGTTCAGGAGTTCGAGACCAGTCTGGGCAACATGGTGAGACCGTTGCTACCAAAAATACAAAAATTAGCTGGGCACAGTGGTACATGCCTGTAGTCCTTGCTACTTTTGAGAGGCTAAGACAGGAGGATGGCTTGAACCCGGGAGGTCAAGGTTGCAGTGAGCCGTGATTGCGCCACTGCACTCCAGCCTGGGAGACAGAGACTCTATTTAAAAAGAGTAACAAAAACAAACACAAAGAAAAACCTGGTGAGAAGAGACTCGCATCATAAATGCCATGATTCTAACTTTAATTCCTCTGCTGTTATGAATGGGGACCCATAAGAGAAACGCTAAGAGAAAAAAGCCCCTGTCTTAAAGTTAAGCATCAGGCCACTTGGAATGACTTTTCAATTTCATTTACAGTAGCAAAGGACAAATTCACACAAATAGAACCATTGGGGAACATACGACCAGGCGGAAGTCAGACCAAAACCTTGACAAATTCCAATTTGTCTCAACCAATACTGTTTTACCTAGGGCCTCCCCTGCCGCAAGAAGGGTTTAGGGCGGGTCTTTCCATTTGTGCACCTGAGTGGCTTTCCACCTTCACATGCCTGGGATATGAAGGCCAAGGTGGGGGACTCAATCCTCATAACTTGGAAGACCACTGCATGTTGGAAAGTGCACTGGACTGGGTGACTAGTCCCAGCTCTGTGAACACACCTCATGGACAGATGTCCACAACCATCTCTCAAACAGCCATCTGACACTGTGGGAACAGTTGCAGTGATGGCTGCAGCAGCAATCACTGCCTTCTATTAAATACTTACTATAGCTTAGGCAGGTAAACACTCCCTAGGCATCGTCTTGAACGTCACACTAACCGCATGAGGTCAATAATACTATCCCCATTTGCTAACAAGAAAACTGAGATGCTGAGATTATAATGCTGGGAACAAGCAGAGCTAGCATCTGAACTCATGTCTGCGCTCTTTACAATACTGTTAATTAAATAAGATAAATGCTACAAGGGCCTACAAAGCAGCACACACGCGCCAGGAAGAAAACAAATCTGCTTAGCCATGGCCTGGCGAGCTCATTTGGTCCCTGCTCAGTAATCAAAGTCATAGCAGGCTAAGCCAGGGCTGCATTTCCACAGGTGTACATCTTGCCTTTCATCATGTTTCCCAAAGGGACACCAGGCTCACAAGGGTACAATTGTGAACAGCCATGAATTCCTGGCAATGCCAACTCCCACAAAGCACAAACATCGCTGCTGCTCATGGGCTCCATCAGCAGCAGGAGCAGTGTTTGTCTGGGGAGCTTTGACACAGGTTACCGCACTGAACGCAGCACTCCAGGAAGGCCAGGGTGCAGATGAGGGAAGAGGCTGGGAGATTAAGTGATTGGATCGAAGGAAAGCTTGTAAGGAAAAGAGTCACAGACGCCCCAAACTTCTGACCTCCAATATGGTGCCACCTCTGTACAGGACTCCGTTCCCCTGGAGCCTCTCTATGGCTAGCCTCATGTCAGTGAACAGACATCATGTGACCCAGCAGGTCAAGGTCAGAAAACAGGAGCAGTTGGGACAAGTGAGGACCAATGGTGTCTGTTTTTAGTCTTATTTACATTGGGATTAAGGTAAGAAAAAGAACAGAATGGCTGGGTTTCCTACCCCAAAATTATAAGTAAAATAAAAGCACAGGCAAAGTGAGGCGAGAAGCCCATTAAACCTCTCATCTGCTTCCTCCCACAGGTGCTGTGGGTGCCTGTACTGTCTCCGTCACACAACCACGGTACCTAGAAGTGGACTACACTCACGAGGCTGTCACCATAAAGTGTACCTTCTCCACAACCGGATGCCCTTCCGAGCGACCGACACACCTGTGGTTTCGCTATGGTGCTCACCAGCCTGAGAACCTGTGCCTGGATGGGTGCAAAAGCGAGGCAGACAAGTTCACAGTGAGAGAAGCACCCACAGAAAACCAAGTTTCCCTCACTGTAAACAGAGTGACTTCAAATGACAGTGCAATTTACATCTGTGGAATAGCATTCCCCAGTGCGCTGGAAGCAAGAGCTAAGCAGACCGGAGGAGGGACCACACTGGTGGTAAGAGGTCAGTCAGCAAGGCTTTATTTCAGTGCATCATTGCATCTTGTTCAGACCTGTAAAATCATTACCTCACTCTCATGCAGAAATCAGGAGATAAATTTGCTAAGTGGATACCTTAGCCAGTAAAGGGTATGATCTGAGCACAAGTCACCATGAGGTTTGGATTAAAGAACTACTCCCAACTTGTTGGACGCGGTGGCTCACACCTGTAATCCCAGCACTTTGGGAGATCAAGGCGGGACAATCACTTGAGGTCAGGAGTTCAAGACCAGCCTGGCCAACATGATGAAACCCATCTCTACTCAAAATACGAAAATTAGCCGAGCATGGTGGCATGCACCTGAAGTCCCAGCTACTTGGGAGGCTGAGGCAGGAAAATCCCTTGTAACCCAGGAGGCGAAGGTTGCAGTGAGCCGAGATCATGCCACTGTACTCCAGCCTGGGCGACAGAGCAAGTCTCCATCTCAGAAAATTAAAACAAAATAAAAGAACTACTCCAACTCATTTCAAACATCCACTAACAAAAAGTCAGTGATATGCTGGGTGCTCTATTCTCTCTCCACAGTGAAGGCTAACCTTCACATGAGCCATGCTCATCCCTTTTGTCTATTACAGTGATTTAGTGTCAAGTACCATGTCCAAAGGAAAGCTTGTGGTGAATAACTATCAGCTTTCTCAGGAACTGGTCTGGTAATGCACCATCTAGAACAAAGTGCTAGAGAAGCGTAAGTGATCAATAAATTGGACCCAGAGAAAATATACAACATGGAGAATAAGCACAGATTTGGAGAGAAACTACTCAGGGATCTCTGAGCTTTCCCATTCTGCCTGGACATCACTTCCTAAGATTTGGTAAAACCCATGACAATTCCTCACCTGAGCAAGGACATCAAACATAGGTAAATCCTATCAGTAATTTCACCAAGTCATTTCCTTGAGAAGACTGAGATTAAGAAATTTCAGAGAAAAAAAAAGGAAGTTCAGAGAAAAAGACTCTTAAAAAAAAGAGAGAGAGAGAAAAGCAGCAGCTCCTTGCCTTGTTGGGGTCTCTTCCCTTAGAAAGGACCCTGGTATGATGAGCACTAAGATCATTAAAACATGAACTCAAAATCAACCAGCCCTTCTATTCTAAAATAGGACTCTGAGGAAGGGAGATCATCCAGTTTTATAATCCCTGCTTTTAAACTACTAGGATTCTAACGGGCTTTTGATATTCAAATGTCATTTAACCTTAGTTTATTCTCACCTGTCAGCTAAATTATAAACAAGTTAATGCACATAAAGCATTTAGTAGTTCCTGGCATATAGAAAATAACAAATGTTAGCTACCGACATTACACACACAGCTTTAGAGATTTGTACGTCTCACTGCATTAGTCTTCTAAAAACGTTAGTAAAAGCAAAAATAGCTTGTAAAAAGATGAAGGTCTCAAAACAGCAAGGCTTATGTATGGAAATTCTTTATGAGCAGAAGTTAAAGTGTTAAGATAGACATGGCTACTTCCTGTCTTTTCTACAGAGCCCCTAATTTAGCACTGAAGTTTTTTATTTAAGTTTTATAGATGTGGTTAATTTGTTGGTTTCACAAATAAAAACGCATGCTGCATGGAAAGTACAGGCTATTCAGACAGTAAGTACAAATCTAACTGTGTTTTGTACTCCAAATAGGTAATCGAAGACACGGCATGTTACTTAATCCCTACCCAGAGCACAAGACAATTTCTGCAAGGAGGGAGAAATTCAGAATATGAAAATGGATTCAATAACTCTACTTCCAGAATATTATCATAAAGCAGGAAGGACAAATGCAGCAAAATTGCCTGTCTTTTAAGCATGCAGCGAGCATTGAGCTCCTCAATGTATGGCCTTCCCAGATTCTTTCACAGACAGACTCTCCGGCTGTGTGTACTAGTTCCAAGGTTATAAATATTAACCTTAAGAAATACATGTGAAAATATCTTAACCACATAGGCAGACTCTTGATGATCCTTGAAAACCATTTCTACAAAAAGAGATTTTAGATGCCCTTGAACAAACTGGAAATGTTTATCTAACTTCAAATGATGCTTTTCAATTTTAGTATATGTACTGCCGAAGCGAGCACAAATGAGGCTTTATCTAAAAAGTGATGCTTACCAATATGACAGATGGTTGGTTGAATTTTTTTTTAATTTTTAAAAACTAGTAACACTTTTGGCATAATACATTTAAAGAATTGATGAACGGGCTTTAACAATCACATACTTGAGCACCTTTTGAGGTCTAGTTTTTATATGAATAGGCACGCAGAGTAAGTTCACATTTCACCTCTAACATGCAGTGTCTACAATACTTTATACATGTATTTGCAAGAATAGCCTTTAATAGAGACTGTGCTTCTTTCTGTTTCTGTAATTAAGAAATTAAGCTTATCAGCAAGGAACTGTGGAGTGTCCTGACAGCTGTTATATCACTGCTCTCTGTCTATGTGACTGGTGTATGCGTGGCCTTCATACTCCTCTCCAAAGTAAGTCAAATCTTCTTGCATGGGATGTCTCTATAACCTTGAATATTATCAAAAGAAAAACAATTTCTATCTCTCCACAAGTTATGGACCTCAGCAAGAGCTCATCTAATATTTTCCTGTGCAGCTGCAGGGAGGAACATCACCTGCAGAAGAGGTCTGTGGAAGAAGGCATCACACATTATCATCACTGAAATTATAAGCCAGAGGCCATAATTTACAGTGTTTTCTTTTTAAGCCCAGTAACATGGGATTAAGAAGAGAACAATTCGCTAGACTATCTTTCTGCTGTGGGGTGAGGGGAGGGGAGGTGGTAAGAAGATATTACTGTTATCTATGAAAGCCTTGAGAATGGTTTTTTGTTTGCGTTTTGAGATGGAGTCTTGCTCTGTCACCCAGGCTGGAGTGCAGTGGCGCGATCTCGGCTGACTGCAACCTCTGCCTCCTGGGGTCAAGCAAATTCTCCCGCCTTAGCCTCCTGAGCAGCTGGGACTACAGGCATACGCACCACACCCAGCTAATTTTTTGTATTTTTAGTAGAGATGGGGTTTCACCATATTGGCCAGACTGGTCTCAAACTCCTGACCTCATGATCCACCTGCCTCAGCCTCCCAAAGTGCTAGGATTACAGGTGGCATGAGCTACCTCACCTGGCCAAAACGGTCTTTAATAACAAAAATGGGCTGATGAAGAGACTAAAAGCAGCCTTAAAATCTTCAAAAAGGCCTAAAGTTATTGAGAAAGAATGCCTTTTGGCAATGCATATAAGAAAAGAGATGTATACATTATGTTAGGATTTCTATAAATCCTACAATCAACATCAGTTTGTTCCATTAGTTTTTAATGGAATAAAAGTACCTTGGAAATGATGTAAAAATTATTAACTCTCACTATCATTTAAGTATTAAGTCAGTTTAATCTTATTAGGGCATGAGATATCTGCCACCATTGTTATGAGGACATAAAATGCTTCATAGACTTTCCTTTTCTTCTTGGCAGTCAAAATCCAATCCTCTAAGAAACAAAGAAACAAAAGAAGACTTACAAAAGGTACAGACCAACACTTGCAAAATATTTTTTACACTGTGGCTGGCTGTAACTATTTCAAAACTGGTTGAAGTATTTTAAGTGTTTAAATATTTAAAGTTTCAACAGAATATCAAGGTAACTTTCGATCAACAGATACTGTTTGCTATTGCTGAGAAACTAAATGACAAAATAATCTCAAGTGGTAAACTGTGGCTTAAATTGGACAGTTCTCAACCATAATCTCTATTTAAAGTACTCAAATACAAAAGAGTTAATGGTAGGCATACATGTGTTGGGAGGGCACAGTTTTTAAGACTGATGGCAATAAAGCAAGAAAATTTCTGATGATGTGCAGTTATCATTGCTTGTATTCTCAAAGGAAAGTTTTTTTTTTTCTGCATTGTCTTACAGAAGAAGAGTGCTCGGCGTATTTTTCAGGAAATTGCTCAAGAACTATACCAAAAGAGACATGTGGAAACAAACCAGCAACTTGTAAGTGTAAAATGTCCAAAAAAAAAAAAAAAAAAAAAAAGTAACACAAATAGCATGTTTGAAAAAACTAAGCTGCCAAGGAGCTGTCAATAACCATGTTTTCCTTCAGAAGACTCTGAAAGGGAACTTTCACATGAAATGCATTTTTATATAGAACCTGTTTTAATAAATACATAACAAAAGGCATCTGATACAATATTACATAGCCACAGGCTGGCAGATGAGTGCCATGGAAACTTTCGGAAACATACTGGACACAAGCAATGTTTTCAATACACACAATGATGGATTAAAAGCTACTCCGTACAGTATCTTGCATGCAGTGGTAGGCGTTCAGTAGATATTGCAGACATTTGTGGGTCAAATTATGAAAACAATTACTTGCTACTTATAAGGCAAAAATAAATTCACATTAGAAATGACGCAGCTAATGATATTAAAAAATGAGTATTTCCCCAGTGTCTGGAGTTGAACTGAAAAGAATACATCCATATCTATAACACACCTGACAGCATTTTTTAAAGTCTTATATAAACAGGTTCTTCAAACATGATGTTGTCTTAGGTTCGGTAAAACAGATACTTTGATTCCACGATGCAAGATGAGATAGCTCAAATAAGCTAAAATGTACATAAAATAAGGTTAATTTATTTTTATTTTTTTTTTAATTCATGCAAGGCTTCACACATTTCTATGTCTTCTTTGTGCAGGGGCCATGCTAATCTTCTCTGTATCAGTCCAATTTTAGTATATGTGCTGCAAAAGCGAGCACAAAATAAGCTGAATTGATACACTAATAAACATATTTTCCTCCTAAACAGCAGCCAAGAGAACAAATGCAACAGGAAATTGAATAGGGTAGTTTTTTATTTTAGTCCAACTTTGACTTAAAAAAATTTTTTTTTTTAACATGGAATGCTTCATGAATTTGTGCATCATCCTGCGCAAGGGCCATGATAACCTTCTCTATACTGTTCCAATTTTAGTGTATGTGCTGCCAAAGCAAGCACTAAAACTCTAACTTTTACGAAGGATTTTTGCCAAGGAAAGAATATTGTCTAAGTAGTTGTTTCATCCTCCAGTGTATATACGGATACATAAAAATGATAGTCTAATTACTAAGATGCCACACTGAGTAATTATAAATTATTTTTCTTTCTGAGGCTGGGACACGTTTCAACAACAAGGCCAAGGTATGCGGCCTGAAGGCAGTCCTAGAAGTGAGAATTGTAAAGTTCCCAGCCAGGATTTTGACAACAGCATCCAAACAAGAAAAATACTTTTCAGTTCCCTCATCCTACTCTAAAAACGGATGAGGAAAATAGCAACCTGACCTTTAAGATTACTGAATGGGCACTTAGGACCCAGAATCCAAGATGGCCCGGTGGTTTGCATGTTGCTGGTGGGTGTTGCTTGGTGGGTGGCTTCATTGGTTACATAATTTTAAACATGGCTTTCTATTTATTATTGCAGGAGAAAGATAACAACACTTAGGAAAACAGAAGAACACTTTCCAACTACGAAAGAGCATAGAAATCTTTTAGTTTTCAATTAACTCACTGAAAATCCAACTGCAGGAGCTATGGCAGTGTTAATGAACATACATCATCAGATCTTAAAAAAAATAAAGGTAAACAGAAAAGACAACTGGCTACGAACGATGCCGGAATGTAAGGAAACTACAGCTAACAGTCATTAACAAAATACTAAAACCCAACAAAATGCAACTGAAAAATGCCTTCCAAATTTGCCAAGAAAAAAATTCTATTTTAAACACGTATCCTGAGTTTGTTTGATTCAACGTGAGATATGTGATGACTGCCATCCTGAAGATCTGAAGCTAAACCATATGCCTCAGTCGAGTGGAAGAATCATCTTTATGGTTTGTGGAAATCATGGGACAATTAAATTAAGTTGAGAGGGAGCAAAGTGACAAAATTTGAGTTAGAGACTTTCATTTTGAAAAGCACCTTAGTGAAAGTTATTTCCTCTGATGCTGTCATGGGGCAATGGGGTAGCATGCCTGCCAGGGTATGCAAAGTAACTTACATCATGCTACTAACAAAATGAGAACAGAATAGTGACTAGAATAAGAACATAAAAGCCTTGTTCAGGACCACATTTTACAAAATGCCTTGTTTCCTTTATTGTTTCTGGAAATGAAAGTTCTATTAATATTGTTTTACTTTGAACATAGAATAGTTTTTTTAATTAGGGCTTATTTTGAAAAATTCTGAGTTTAATTCAAATGTATGCCAATACCTTCCAAAGTAAGGTAATATTCAAAGACAGTTGTTCTGATCAGATGGCTTAGAGAAATTTCTGGAATATTCACATTCAAAGATCCTTATTAATGAATGTCTTTGACTTAAATCTAACCAAAAACTGCAACATTATTCTTTGTACATTTTCATTATATAGTGTTAACAAGCTTAGTTGCAAACAAATAAAATACTTAAGCTATTTGTTTAAAAAAAAAAAAAAAAAAAAAAAAGAACATAAAAGCCAAAATACAGAAAATCCAAAGCTGAAGGTTAAACAGAAGAAATTTCAGAAAAAAATAAGCCACAACTGACTCTAGGTGTCAGTGTTGTGCCAAGTATCAGCACCAGGGAAGGTGTGGGCAACAGGTCTACTTTACAAGTACATTTGTAATACTGATTTTTAAACAATTTAGGAGGGAAATGTCAACAGGAGGCAAGGTACAGCAAGGATATTTATGGAACTCATGACCACTTCACTAAGAAAACATGATATAAATTGTCCTTTGAAAGCTACTTTGGTATAAAAAAATCTAAAGAACTCATAAATATCAGTATTATTAAACACAAATTACAAACTTACAAACTACTATGTTTATGTCATTTAAGTGTTTATTTTAAACTGGTATTGTCTAAGATGTATTCTTTTTAAAATTTAGAATTTTAAAATACTTTAACATTCCTTTGAAAGTGTTTTTGCAGGGCCGGGCATGGTGGCTCAAGCCTGTAATCCCAGCACTTTAGGAGGCCGAGGCGGGTGGATCACGAGGTCAAGAGATTGAGACCTCCAGGTCAACATGGTGAAACCCCGTCTCTACTAAAAATACAAAAAATTAGCTGGGCATGGTGGCGTGTGCCTGTAATCCCAGCTACTCAGGAGGCTGAGGCAGGAGAATTACCTGAACGCAGGAGGTGGAGGTTGCGGTGAGCCGAGATCGTGCCATTGCACTCCAGCCTGGGTAACAAGAGCGAAACTCCGTCTCAAAAAAAAACAAAAACAAAAACAAAAAAGAATGTGTTTTTGCACTGATGGCTGAAATCATTGATATCAAACTTTTCCTGATCATATGTGTCCAGAAAAATGGACAGAGGAAAGGAGGGAGCATGGAACCTCATTTTATTTGTGTGTATCTGTGTATACATGTGAGTACACATGTGTGTAGGCACGTGTTTTGTGTATAGTGTGTGAATATGTACGCATGTATCTTAAACACAAAAACAGAAATTAAACAACGGCATAAGCAGCAATACAAATAAAAAATGCTAACATTTTCTTGCCATATTGCAAAATAAACTGTCTTGTGCACTCTACAGTATATACTTCCCTACTCTGAGACCACGGGCTCAGGTAAAATAATAAGCTTCTAAGCCAGACTGCAAAAAAGGGCAAGCACTAATACCATCAAGAGAACAGAAGTGTTGAATTCGATCATTTACTTTTCATTTCTGGGAGTCATTACATTTTGGTACTGAATTGAATTCCAGGGCTGAAAATTCACTGTTCATTGTGTAACTAATCAGGAGACAAAATCCCTAAGATAAACTAGTATTTTCTCACAATATGCCTTTCCCACTGTAAGCAAAAACTGTGTTTCAAAGATTGATTTTGAAGCTCAAATATGGCATATACTTTCCCAAAGAGTTATATTCCTCTAGGTCATATATAAGAATATCTGGTGTATATGCAGTATTCATGCATTTATTCATCTATCTTGCCAACAGTATTTATTTTCAAACTTCAAAACAAGTTTTATTTGGGAAGAGTTTCTTATTTTGTTAAAGCTACAAGCAAGTTTCTTTCCCAATTACAAATCTAGAAATCTAGCAGTTTCAGAGACCTCAGTGTTCAAAAATACATTTCAAAATTAACAACTAAACCAAACCCACACCGAAAGGAAATAAGTTTTCAGATTGGTTTGGAATGCACAGCCATTGATTTCAGGTGCCAGCAATATTTACTGAGTGCTACGCTATACAATCAAAGGCCTCTTTGCAAACTATCCTTGGGTCATACTGAACTTGCTCCACCCCACACGAACCTTATTCACACCTTCATGCTTTTGCACATGCTATTCCCCTCAGCCTGGTAAAATGCTTCAGACCACAAACACAGCTCACCCCAGCAGGAAACCTTCCCTAACTCACCCAGAGGCTAATGGATCTTTTTGTCTCTAATTCTTCAGTACTTTGCTATTATTTCTTAGCACAATCTCCTGCCATTATCTGTTTATATCTATATTCTGTACTATTCTGTGTTTTAAGAGCAAAAGCACAATTCTCATTTATCTTGGTATTTCTACTTGGTACACTGCAGGCCCTCAAATGCCTTTCTATAAATGCAACTTAATGTTTCTATAGAAAAATGCTTCTTCAGCATTTAAATTATGTGGCATATTTCAGTCCCTCACCATGAAGCCTCACTCCCTTCCATAAAGACCATTCAACAAATTCCTAACAGTCATAATTATCCTCCTACCTAGGCCCAGAAACATTTTCAATGAAAAGGACTAAGCTGTAACTTTTTTTCTTTTTTCTTGAGATAAGAGTTTCACTCTTGGCATACAGGCTGGAGTGCAATGGTGTGATCTCAGCTCACTGCAACCTCTACCTCCAGGGTTCAAGTGATTCTCCTGCCTCAGCCTCCTGAGTAGCTGGGATTATAGGCACCTGCCACCATGCCTGGCTAATTTTTATATTTTTAGTAGAGACAGGGTTTCATCATGTTAGCCAGGCTGGTCTTGAACTCCTGGAATCAAGTGATTGGCCTGCCTTGGCCTCCCAAAGTGTTGGGATTATAGGTGTGAGCCACTGCACCTGACCTTGTTTCCAACTTTAATAAAAATATTTCTACTTTAAATATGATGCTGATGCTATTTTATTTTTACTTGAAGTTGCTGTTGTTTCACTTGAGATGGTTTTTTCTGTTTTGTTTTTAGCTCACTGCAACCTCCACCTCCTGGGTTTAATCAACATTCCTGCCTCAGCCTACTGAGTAGCTGGGATTACAGATGATGTGTGTGACCACACCTGGGTAATTTTCGTATTTTTAGTAGAGACAGGGTTTTGCTGTATTGACCAGGCTGGTTTCAAACTCCTCACCTCAAGTGATCTCCCCACCTCCGCCTCCCAAAATGCTGGGATTACATTTCCCTCTTAAAGTTGTGTTACATACTGTGTGTTTATATATATTTAAGCCTCCACCCCCACATTGTGATGGTATTAGGAAATGGGGTCTTTGGGAAGTGAATAGGATTAGATGAGGTCATGAAGGCCTGAGCAATGCCACCAAAACCTTTCTCTACAAAAAAAAAAAATACAAAAATTAGCTGGGTGTGGTGGCATTCACCTGTAGTACCAGTTACTCAAGAGGCTGAAGTGGGAGGATTGCTTGAGCCCAGGAGGTCAAGGCTGCAGTGAGCTGTGATCACACCACACTGCTCTCTAGTATGGGCAACAGAGCAAGTCCCTGTCAGAAAAGAAGAAAAAGAAAAATAAGAAGAAAGAGAAAAAGGAAAAAAGGGGGAGAATAGGGGAGGGGAGAATGTTTTGTTTTGGTTTGTTTTGTTTTGAAACACCGTAAAGCAAATTGCTGGTATCTAGACACCTCTAGTAAAGTTATACATCTAGTGGTGTGCTGGCAAATGTGTAACTACCAGCTTGGAAAAGAAAAAGGCTATTTGCAGTGTTTTCCAATTTCTACAGTATAAATACTCCCATCATGGTCAATTTCAATAATGGCCATGTTTAATAACCAGTTCACTAAATTCCCACCAAAACAACAATCAGCTCTCATAAACCAGTCCAAGCCAGCTCCAGCATCTACAGCTTAGATCTAGACAACCATGTGGAGACATATGTGCTGGTAAGAACTACTTTCCTAGGTACATTTAAGTGGAAAAAGGCAACAAAAATATCTATAATTGGGTACTGCCTGTATAAGAAATTTTTTTTTTTTTTTTGAGACGGAGTTTCGCTCTTGTTACCCAGGCTGAAGTGCAATGGCGCGATCTCGGCTCACCGCAACCTCCGCCTCCTGGGTTCAGGCAATTCTCCTGCCTCAGCCTCCCGAGTAGCTGGGATTACAGGCATGCGCCACCATGCCCAGCTAATTTTTTGTATTTTTAGTAGAGATGGGGTTTCACCATGTTGACCAGGATGGTCTCGATCTCTTGACCTCGTGATCCACCCATCTCGGCCTCCCAAAGTGCAAGAAATTTTTTAAATGTACATACGTACTTATATTTGCATAGACTATCTTTTAAAGAATATTCAAGATACCAGAACAAGATTGTGCAACTGGACTGGATGAGAAACTTTTTATTGTAAACCCTCTAGTAAGTTGCTTGAATGTTTTTTAAAATTACTAAATTACTTTTTAATAAAAATTACGATTTTGAAAAATTAAACCTCATTAAATGTTTATTTTTAAAATACAATTATCCTTTTCTTGACTACATATCTTTCCTTTTTGGGGAGATGCTTAAAATAATTCTCACTAGATTCAATAACCCCTAACCAAAACTGGGTCAGTAAACCAAATAAACTGAAATTCTAACAATATTTTTTTTCATTTTGTTTTTTTCCAATACAAAACTGCTGTAGTTCAAGTCATTTACCAAAACAATTACATAAGTAATCATTTCACCTGCTACTACTTTTAGTTTAAAAAAAAAAAACAAATTAAGCCAGTATGCAAAGCACACTCGGATATCCTAAAACAGTCCAGTATTCATGAATCTGGACAGCAAGACCATTTTGCATCTCCTGGTCCTCACGGTTTCACATGGAAATCATCAGGATCTAATTAGTTACTCAGAGAAAGAAAGCAATAATAGAGTGCCGTGGCACAGTGTGCAAGATTTATAGGTCACTAAAAGTCACCCATAGCAACAAGCCTTCTTGTCTCAGGTCTGCAGTGTGTCACATGCCAGACTCCTCAGACTCAATGGGCAATTCTGCACATCCACAATCAAGGAGCTTGTTTTCCACCCTCCATAGAGACGGCCCTCTTGTCTAGTTTGACTTCCTCTCTATTTTTAGCATCAGAAACACAATGAAATAAAATTCGCATTAAAATTCTATCATGAGGTTGCCCAACAGGACATAGGAAGCCAGGACCTTCCAACCTGATGACTAGTGAACGCAATGCAGACAGCTGGAGCTGAAGCTTAATTACACAGGTAGGAGCAGCACTGAAGATCAGGTTGCCGACTCACGAAGGAGGACATTTACTAGTTTTTTTTTTCACTGTGCAGTATCTAGATGATGTATGTACACTCAAATGTAAAAGCAGTTTTTTTCTTTACCATGACAAGTCACTCAACAACAGGAATGTAAAAATGGATATCTAAGATGGGAATGGGAAGATTTGTTATCTCTGTTCTTTTCCATACCCTTCTATATCAAAAGAATTCCGCATTTTCCCCATTAGCAACACAAATCTGAAAACATTTGGTAAATGTTAAGACAAGCATTAAGTCTGAAGGCACTAAGATGTAGGGAGAACAAATTATGAACCGAATTAAGGAACAAGCAAGTAACACCACAAATCTACAAAGAACCCAAGGGTTATAAGAAGCAGGCATTATCCCTTAAGACATAAATGTTCATGGTATTTGATAATGATGACTTTGCAAAAGTGTAATAGATTTCTTCAAAATGTCTGTGAACTCTTAAGAGTTTTTGAAGTCAAGGTCAAGTGAGACAGTAAAAGAGGAAATCTAAAGATTTTTCGGCTGGACATGATGGCTCACACCTATAATCCCAGCACTTTAGGAGGCAGAGGCGGATGGATCACCTGAGGTCAGGAGTTCGAGACAAGCCTTGTCAAGATGGGGAAACCCCATCTCTACTAAAAATACGAAAATTAGCCAGGCATAGTGGCATGTACCCATAGTTCTAGCTACTTGGGACTCAGGAGACTGAGGCAAGAAAATCGCTTGAACCTGGGAGGCGGAGGTTGCAGTAAACTGAGATTGTACCACTGTACTCCAGCCTAGGCAAAGGGCAAGGCTCTGTCTCAAAAAAAAAAAAAGGAAAAGACAAAGAAAGAAAAACTACAGATTTTTAAATAGTAACTTGTATTATTCATAATACATATTATTCATACAATAATTTTATATCAATGTACATTAACATGAAAATGCAGGAGACTTAAAGTAGTAACTTTCAAGATTGTCTAAAATGCAAACCACGTGAGCTAAAACTATAAATTAATGTGGCATTATTATTTATTAAGACAGAATGGCCAGAAGTCATAATAAATATGAAGTGATATGAAATCAACCCATTTCTTCTAACATATTTTTTATTGAATATTGCTGAAGAGCAAGACCATGCAATCAAGAAATCAAATGTTACAGAAATTATACATGCTGTGAGATTCATGGTCTTCAAGAGAAAAAATGCAGATAACAGCATTTATCATTTTTAGAGTCTGGCACAAGAGATGCAAAATACAAAACAGCCATGACATTCAGCAAGTGTATATGACTAGACTTAAAGGCACTGTTTATTGTTGATTCAGTTGTAAAGCTCATAAATAAATGGTTCAAGTTCCATTTGAAACCAGAGATACAGATGCATTTTTGGCTTTCAATCTCCAGCAGTCAAACCCAGCTAAATATTAATTATCACCACTGCAAGGGGAGTGCTAGAGTTCTATAAAGTCCACCTTAAGGTGAACATTAACCAAGGTGGTGTTTTACATGGATTAACTGGATTATTCTAAACTGCAGGCTATTATAAGAAATACTAGACAATGTTTAATTGTACACAGCACAAAAACATGAATACCAATAAACAGCTATCCTGGGTAAGAGCTAGCCTGACTACACTTACCGTTTTCCACATAGGGATGAAAGGGGAGGACCAGGGCAAGGATGACCCTGCCTCTAGTTGGCTCCAAGACACTTCTGATATCCTTTAACAAAGTCAGGGGCTGATCACAGCGGTCCAGCAAGTTCAGGCAGCTAATGACATCATACTGGAACCCTGTATTCTGCCATTCATTTATACCAAGCACTCTAGAAAAATCAGAAATAACTGTATTAACATAACATCCCTCTAAAGACATCTTTAAAAATAAGTGAGATGTCGGCAAAGGCTTTAATTTTGTCTTCTAAATTAAGTTCAAAATCTTCTGTTATAATTTATGTTTGCAATAATGACATGGCCAGGCAAGAGAAAAATAGCAACCATATTTCTTTTTGAGTCGGAATCTCACTCTATCGCCCAGGCTGGAGTATAGTGACGCAATCTTGGCTCACAGCAACCTCCACTTCCCAGGTTCAAGCGATTCTCCTGCATCTGCCTCCTGAGTAGCTGGGATTACAGGCATGCGCCATCAGGTCCAGTTAATTTTTGTATTTTTAGTAGAGACGGGGTTTCACCATGTTGGCCAGATTGGTCTCAAACTCCTGACCTCAAGTGATCTGCCTGCCTCTGCCTCCCAAAGTGCTGAGATTACAGGCAGAAGCCACCCTGCCCAGCACATATTTCTTTAAATTTAGCATTTCACCTACTTCCAAATCTCAAAACATACGAAATTCCCTTTACAAGAACTAATCAAGTTTAATAAGTATGAAGATGCAAGCTGATAAAAAGTTATGAAACTAAGACATCAAATTCTTGAATATCATTAGTTAACAAGAGTCCTGCTTTTACCATTCATTGGAACTTAATCAAAAAATGTTTAATTTTTTCTTTTTCTTTTTTTTTTTTTGAGACAGAGTCTCGCTCTGTCACCCAAGCTGGAGTACAGTGGCTCGATCTCAGCTCACTGCAACCTCCGCCTCCTGGGTTCAAGGGATTCTCCTGCCTCAGTCTCCCCAGTAGCTGGGAATACAGGCGCATGCCACCATGTCCAGATAATTTTTTGTATTTTAGTATTAGTAGAGACGGGGTTTCACCATGTTAGCCAGGATGGTCTCGATCTCCTGACCTCAAAATCTACTCACCTCGTCCTCCCAAAGTGCTGGGATTCTGTCAGCCATTGCACCCAGACTGACATTTTCTATTCCTAGGATCCCTTCTATTCTTAAATATGGCTGGGAGCAGGCCATGGTGGCTCACACCTATAATCCCAGCACTTTGGAAGTCCGAGGAGGGCAGATCACAAGGTCAGGAGATGGAGACCATCCTGGTCAACATGGTCTAACCCCATTTCTACTAAAAATACAAAAATCAGCTGGGTGTAGTGGGGTCTGCCTGTAATCCCAGCTATTCAGGAGGGTGAGGCAGGAGACTTGCTTGAACCAGGGAGTCGGAGGTTGCAGTCAACCGAGATTGTGCCACTGCACTTCAGCGTGGCAACAGAGCAAGACTCCATCTCAAAAAAAAAAAAAATGGCTGGAGTGGTATAAAATGATTTCCATTGATAACTTATTCAATTTCTAATTGAAGAAAAACATGTCAATTATTACCATGCAGACCCAGTAGAACCTTATCTGAGACAGACTGCTAAAGCTAAGGGACTTTCTAATCACTCAGTTCAAACTCATACCTTCCTTACATCTCTTCCTATAACATCCCTAACAGCAATTTAAACACTGACAGTGATAAGGACTTAGATGGTTCAAGCTAGAAAGGTTGATCTCCCTAAGCTGTAAGTCGACTTCTAAGGCGTAGCTCTGCCTGATTATACCAGAAATGATACCTGTTCCTTTTCTTCCATATAAAATCCCACTGAGTATCTGTTCACAGTAATATTCTCTCTTTCAGGCTAAAAATCTCCATGTTTTGCAAATGCTCAATCCAGTCCTGCTCCAAAAGCTACACTGATGCTCTGTCTCTAGGGTTAATCTGTAAAAGTAGAAACATGTGGATAGGAAAGTGCGTGATTACATAATTCTTTCTCCTTTCTCTCTAAGGCTAACCAGACTTCCAAAAATATCACAGAGGAGGAGGCCAACTCCTGCTCTACCTCCCCGATTCTACACTGAGCCAATATATGGAAATCCCCCAGTCAACAGAATCATATTGAAATAATATCCTTCTTCCTAGTCTTTCAAGCTCCCGATGATCTTAAAACCAAGATTTGACACTTCACACCCATTATCACTGACGACTATATGTTAAACTCAGAACAAAACAGAAAATAGCCAAGTACTATCAAGGAGTGGAGAAATTGGAACCCTTTTATTACACTGCTGGTGGGAATGAAAAATGGTGCAGCAGCAATGAAAAGTATCGTAATTTCACAAAAAATTAAACCCAGACTTAGCCATGTGATCCAGCAACTCCACTTCTGGGTCTATACTCAAAAGAAGTGGCAGTAGGGGCTCACATAGGAATTTGTACACCCATGTTCACAGCAGCATTATTCACAACAGCCAAATGGTAGAAACAACCCAAGTGTCCACTGACAGATAAATGGGCAAACAAAGTGTCATACATGCATACAATGAATTATTATTCATCCTTAAAAAAAAACGCTGGGCCAGGTGCTGTGGTTCACACCTGTAATCCCAGCACTTTAGATCACTTTAGGTCAGGAGTTCAAGACCAGCTGGCCAAATAGTGAAACCTTGTCCCTACTAAAAATACAAAACAATTAGCCAAGCATGGTGGCATATGCCTGTAATCCCAGCTACTTGGGAGGCTGAGGCAGGAGAATTGCTTGAACCTAGGAGGTAGAGGCTGCAGTGAACCAAGATCACGCCATCGCTCTCCAGCCTGGATGACAACAGAGCAAGACTCCATCTCAAAAAAAAAAAAAAGAAAAGAAAAGAAAATTTTGGCCCATGGTACAACATGAGTAAACCTTGAAGACATTATGCTACATGAAATAAGCCAGTCACAAAAAGCTCATGTATATGATTCCTCTTATGTGAGGTACCCAGTGTAGTCAAATTCAGAGAGACAAAGTAGAATGGTGGTTATCAGGGGTTAGAAGAAGGAAAGAATGGGGAGTTATGTTTATTGGGTACAGAGTTTCAGTTTCAGAAGATAAAAAAGTTCTGGAGATGAATAGTAGTGATGGTTGTACAACAATGTAAATGTACTTAATACCACTGAACTGTATACTTAAAAATAGTTAAAATAGTAAATTCTATGCTATGTATGTTTACCACTACTTAAAATATATTTTTTTGAGAATGCCAGATTCTGATTAGGGAACAAGTCCCCTCTTTGGATCTGCCTTTTCCAAGCTGTCTCTCACTATAGTGCCAACTCCTCTGCTCCAGAAAAATACTGCCACCAGAGGATTATTTCTCTAAATTTCCAGTTAATTGTGTATGAAATGATTTTTTAAAAATCCTAATCATGGAAGATCATTTTTGATTCACATCCTTTTAATAGTATACTTTCAAGAAGAAATGCATCTAAAATCAAGAAATATATCCCATGTCTAAAAATTATACCTGTATTTTTTCTTCTGAAGCTGCCATATCATAGTTTCAGAAAGCTCAGTGGCATAGATTTCTTCAAAATGAGGGCTCATGATTTTTGTGACTTCTCCATCTCCAGCACCTAAATCAAGAAGTCTGTGGGTTTTCCAGTCTGGATTAATTTTAAGCAGTCTCTGAAACTGATCTGGTGAAAACACAAACATTGAGCCTCTTCCTAGCAACCTGAAAAAAAAGGGACAAAAATGGAAGTGTCTATGCAAATTAAGCACCCCTCACCATACACCCACAAAGTGAATGTAGTGACTCAGCACCAACAACCATAATCACTTATTATGTGGTTAAGATATTATCTTTCATATGATTTTTATGATTAGAAGGCAAAGTTAATAAAATAAGAAAATGCCTCCAGATACCATTTGTCTTTGGAGTTGCAAATAATACCCCAAAAGGGATGGGAGAAGGAGGGAAATAAAAGGTGGAAAGGGGAAAAGATGACAGGGAAAGGAAGAAGAAATAAGAAATGAGTATGAAGAACTGAAGTTAAATTAGGAAGGAAAGGTGGAAGGAGTAACAGAAAATGTGTCAGTTGAAAAAGATGACAACCTAACAGAGTTAGTCCACAGTAGCAGAGAAACCAAATAGGGAAAAAATGGTATTTCAAATATGGAACTAAACCAAGGATGAAGAAAAAAAGTACTTTAGGATCATAGGTTTTCAAGAGACACCAGAGAAAATAAGGAAAAGAGTGGTCCTTGTGATATCAGTTAATATGCATTAAAGAAGGAGATTCATACTTATGTCAGTTTACATGGCTAACAACTGTCTGGGTCCTATTATTTCTAAAGGTTCTAGAAAACATTCAAAACCATAGTAATAGCTTTGAAAAAGAGACTGAGGGGAGTTTAAATGGAGATGGAAGAGAACCCTCAGAAAAGCTATAGGTCAAGCCAAGTCTCATGGAAGCATCGCCTTGGGAAATAAAACACACTCCCTATTTAAGACTTGTTTTCTAGCTCTCGAATTCTAGTTTACCCAGGGCAGGGATTCTCAACCCTATTTTAAGCAGCAGAACCCTTCCTTTAAATAAAGGGGAACTCACTCACAGACAACATAAGATCCTAAGAGAGCTGCTGCTGTTCGAATGAGGATGGGAGCCCAGGAGCTGTGGCCAGCCCACTTCTAGGCCTTTCTCTGCAGCCTGAAGCAGTTCCTGAGGCACGACCTCCTCAAACCCTGGAAAACAGTTTGGGGACCACTAGTCTAGAAACTGGGAGGGAAACCTGTGCTGTACTGCTGCTCTCGGGAAACAATCATAAGGTACAATATGTTTGCTGCTGCTATATGGTGACTGCAAAGATGCATTCAACATGGTGCCAAAGTAAGACCAGTTTTAGGAAAAAATACAAATAATAGAGTTTATGTAAGGAAGTCCCCCTTCCTTTTCCCATTAAGGCCATAAGAGAATTTAACCAAGCTTATAGTAAATCTTCTGCCTCACAGAAATGCTAAAAAATTGGAAAGAGTGGCTGGGCGCAGCGGTGCATGCCTGTAATCCCAGCACTTTGGGAGACAGAGGCAGGCAGATCACAAGGTCAGGAGTTTGAGACCAGCCTGGCCAACATGGTGAATCCCCGTCTCTACTAAAAATACAAAAAAAATTAGCTGGGCATGGTGGCAGGGGCCTGTAATCCCAGTTACTCGGAAAGCTGAGGCAGGAGAATCATTTGAACCCAGGAGGTGGAGGTTGCAGTGAGCCAAGATCGCACCACTGCACTCCACCCTGGGCAACAGGGCAAGACTCCATCTCAAGAAAAAAACTAGAGAGAGTAAGACCTCAGAGACCACAGAACATGATGCTACCAACTACAACTGCTTACCAAAGAAAATCACGTCTCATAAAAGACAAATTGTTTTAATCCTCAACTGTTCACATGCTACGGTAAGAAAATAAGCAAATCTGAACTTGCTGAAGTAACTGCACAAAATTTAACACAGAAACCAGAGTCACAGCAGAAAGAGGCTACTGGCAGCATGGCTAAGGAGAGGCACATTTCAAATGCTGATGCTGACTTACCACAGGACCCAAAGTAAGTCACAAAATAGTTGTACTTTGGTTAAATTTTCCCAGCTCTAAATAGCATGCTTCCCAAGCCATCTCCTTGGGATGTGAGGAATCTTGGCATGATAATCATAAAATTTTTGAACGAGAGGTCACCTGAGATCAGAGCTCACCAAGTTCATCTGACTGATCTACATTTAAAGGCACTAGAGGCTCGGCCTGGTGGCTCACGTCTGTAATCCAAGCACTTTGGGAGGCTGAGGCGGGAGGATCTCTTGAACCTAGGAGTTTGAGACCAGCCTAGGCAACATGGTGAAATCCTGCCTCTACAAAAAAATACAAAAACTAGCCAGGCATGGTAGCATGAGCGTGTAGTCCCAGCTACCTGAAAGGTTGAGGCAGGAGGATTGCTTGACCCTGAGGAGGTCAAGGCTGCAGTGAACCATGACTGTGCCACTGCACTCCAGCCTAGGTGACAGAGTGAGACCCTGTCTCCAAAAAAGAAAGAAAGAAAGGCACTAGAGAGAGGGAGGAAGTGTTGTCCTATTTCCAAAGAACATTAGCAACAGGGGCTCTATAAAAAGTTAATACTGTCAAAAAATAAATCAAAATCCATCAAGCCCAGCGTTTATCAACGAGGATTGACTTTGCCCTCTAGGGGGCACTGAGAGTAGACAGTAGAGTCTCCAGTAATCATAATGACCTGGGGGTACAACTGCCATTTAGTGAGCAAGGCCAGAAAAGTTACAACTTCCTAGAGAGTGTGGGGCACTCGCACAACGAAGAACAGTCTCACCTAAAATACCAAGCCCAATACAAAGTTTCCCATCAACATATACCATGGAGAGACATGACCCTTTAATTCTGGTTTAACTTTAGTGTTTAATAACCATCCTAGGTTCTCTGGTCACAATCTAAGTTCTCTCTAGACTTAAAGGGGAAGAGGTATGCCTCTTCCTTATAAAATAAACTCTGGAACAGCTATTAAGTCTTTCCTTACCTGGCCTTCTCCTTTCCAACATAAAGGAAGTCTGATAAGTATCCTAAGTTAATTCAAGATGGTACCATAGTAATGATTTCTGTAAGAGATGGCCACCTGTCGTAATAATCTCCCACTACCATGGCTGCAAAGGTACTGGTGGGCCCTTAAATTTAGTTTTTAGCTGAGAATGGGACACAGGGCAGGAAGGATTGGAAGCAGGGTGGGTACTAAAAGAAAAAAACAGAAGAATTATAAGTTAGGGAAGCCAAAAGGGGTTTGTTAACTGCATTGACTCTTTGATCAAACTGTGAAATTCTAGAGTAGGGAATTTTAACCAGGGTCTTATGGGTAGAGGAAAGGGGAAATAAAAGTTTGAATCCCCAAAATCATATGCAAAATATTGCATATAAGCACTTTTTGAAGAGAGGATTCCTACCTTTGATCACTTTCAAAGAGCTACAGGACGCCAAAAAGGATAAGAATCTCTGCTACAGTGACTCGTCTGAATTCCAAAGGCGGAATAAATAGTACAGAACAGAAATTCAGTCTAACCAATTTAAGGAACAAAATATCAGGCCGAGTTGTAGCAACTCAAATACCAATATAAAAATACCAACTGTTTGCCAAAGTAGATGTATGGCAATTCACATAAACAATGAAGAAAATCAAGTGAGACATCTTAAGAAATGGCTTGCATCATCTGGTCCCTAATAAAAACATATTTAGGGACCAGATGATACAGTGGGGGATCCAGACAGTCAGTAGAAACTGGCTCCAAACCTCAAGGGAAAAGAAAAGTAGGCCCAACCAGTGGTTTCAGTGGTTCAACGAGGCCTTTTAAGCATTGAGCCCTGCTGCTTTTCTCTTTGGCATTTTAGATTCTAGGGTCTTTGGAATGCTTGAAAATTTGGCCAAGAAAGGATATTCAAAAACTCCTAAAGTTTTTTCTATGGATTTATATGAGGGAACCCCTCTGAGGACAGAGAATTCCACAATAACTTTATAAAATTCTGGTGAACCTAGACATTATTTAAGAACAGATGCAGGACTCTTCACTCAAAATTAGCCATCATCTACAGTTGGGCTAATTAGGTCTCCCCTAAAAAACTTGCTACTGAGAAGTATGTTTAAGGCAAAGACCTTACTCTTCAGCCTAAGGGCACAAGCGCCTCAGCTTCAGGGTTTGGCTCCAGGAGTCTTGCTGCTTTGTGGTCCAGAACCAGCAGCATTCAGCATCACTGGCATCGTCTAACAGCTTGTTAAAAACGCAGACTCGCTGGGCACAGTGGCTCCCGCCTGTAATCCCAGCACTTTGGGAGGCAGAGGTGGATGGATCATTTGAGGTCAGTTTGAGACCAGCCTGGCCAACATGGTGAAACCTCATCTCTACTAAAAATACAAAAATTAGCTGGGTGTGCTGGTGCACACCTGTAATCCCAGCTACTTGGAGGCTGAGGCATAAGAATTGCTTAAACCTGGGAGGCAGTGGGTGCAGTGAGCCCTGATTGCAACATTGCACTCCAGCGTGGGCAACAGAGCAAGAGTCTGCCTTAATACCAAAAAAAAAAGCAGACTCTCAGGCCTAGCCCCTGACCTACTAACTCATAATCTGCATTTTTATTAAGATCCCCAGGTGATTCCTGTGTACAACAAAGCCAAGAAGCACTGCCCTAAGTAACTCCCCCGCAAGAATACACATACTAATGAGGCTATCTGTCATGGTGAATTTAAAGGGCAGAACCACAGAAAGATAGAATGCTGGACTAACTGCCAAGGATTCTGACTAGCAGAAGTATTGTAGCTCAGTTGGTCAACATGGTGAAAAGGTAACTTTCCTTTTTTTTGTTTTTCCTTTTGTAAACCTAAAGAAAAAAAATAAATGTCCAAGATTCACTTACCCATTGATAGATGTTCTAGACATAAACAGGCTAAAAACAGATGACACAAAAGAATGATATAATTGGATAAATAGCCAGCCAGATTTCTCAATGCTGTTGTTTAAGAAGATCTGTGTTCCTTGATCAAGGTAACTCTGAACAAAGACAGCCTGGAGTGATTCGCATAATTTCTCTCTGTTGCACACATACCACTAAAAAAAAGAAAGAAGAACAAAAATTAAACAAAGTGTCACTTAAGAAATCCAAAAACAGAAAAACCAGAAGACTAAATCAAATCTAAGATTTCCAAATAATACAATCTCATAATTTGAGATAATCATTTCGTATACTCCTATAACCTGTAAAACATAAAGTACTTCTTCAGACATGACTTCTCATTTAATTATCTTACATCCCTCAAGGTAGGCAGAAAGGATGAGGGAAGGGTGGTGAGGATTTGGGGTCTTCAGCTTAGTAGGCAGCAGAACCAGACCACAGCTCAGGCACTCAGCCTCCCAGCCAAGTGCTTTGTCACTGTACCCCTGAGATCTAGAAAGCTCTGCTGGCCTCTCCTTCACTGAGATTCAACATCAGAAGGCAAATAGCTTAGCAGCATCCTTGTTTTCAGATAAGAAAACAGTCATATAATCCAATGCCTTAACTCAAAACCACCAAATAAACCCAAATGGCAAAGTAAAGCAACAGAATTTAACACTCCAGTGACCAGATTAAGCTGCCTTTCTTCTTGTGGGCTATTTAAGAGACCTTTAGAAATCTTGAGGTATGCTTTACAAACAGGTCATATGACATTCTTACAGGGGCAACATTCGCTCAAGAAAGATTAAGAAGTTACTTAAGGTCATACCACAATCAATGAGAAGACCAAGTAGTAACATGCTAAGAAACAGATTTTCAGGAATTGGCTCTATTCAGAATGCACGTTTTAGAACAAAATTCAAGTATTTCACCTGTAGATGGAAATTTAATCTTTCATAACAACTGAGTTAGCAGGCACATGGAGAAGCAGACTGGACATCAGCTTTAGTGTCAGCCCCACAATCAAGTCCTGGCTCTGCCCTTCCTACATGAGCTCAGACAAATCACTTAATCTCTAAGCCACCATTCATTTGCAGACTAGAGACGTCACTGGTGTCTGTCTATCCTGGTAGGGTACTATGAGGATTAAAAAAGATAATGTAGGCAAGTCCACAACATAATACAAAGCACACAGTGAGAATCCTACAATAATAATAGCAATGAGGTTCCCCCAACATGGCCTGAGAAATAAAAATAAGCCCATTAAGTACAGTGATGAAACTACAAAGTACATCATTTACTATTAATCCATTATCTGCCATGAAACACAAATTTTTCCCAGTAAGTCAACTGGCTAAGAGTATGTGCTTCCCCCTGAGAAATACAAACTTTTATCAGCAGTAGGTGTCCTGTAAGTGCTTGCACAATTGGTGGACCAAGTTCATAACCATCCTAAGCTTACTAAATGTTCAGTGAAATCTTGAGTAACATTCCTGATGCTAACGTTAAAAGGAACTAGTTACAAATCAACACAAATAGGCATATTAAATTTCAGAGATTAATCATTTTACAAACTCTGTTCCCTAAACTGGGTAAACCAAGCTTTTCCAGTTGTGGACTGATTTGTACTAATTTGTCATTTCATCAGTTATCAAAACTGCTTGGACTTTCTATATAAAACTATTTTTATTTTTCCTACCCTATATGACAAGCTATGAAGCTTTTTACATTCACTGCCTACACTTTTTTCCCTTGGTCTAAAAATGTTCTTGCTTAATGATTTTCTAATTCTTAATACTTACTGTGCCTGAAGTTATGCTCCAGTGCAGGTCATAAACCGTTTTTTATTATGCTCGTGACCTCCTGGTGCACATTCTGAACTCTGTAATACGGAGGCCACTCTGACTTTTATTTATTTTTTATTCTCTGAAATGGCTAATCAAGATGAAAGCCATCACCTTGATAATAGGCAATCAGGTACATTCTATTAATGTGGATGAGAAGTCATTCGAGTGAAACAGAGGAGCTAAGAATTCCTTGGCATCCACTTGTAAATGGACTAGAACAACAATGGATTCTGACTTCCAGAACCGAGCAGGAACTGGCACCATTAACTGCAAATAGTGCTTTCAAGTGCCAAGAGGAAAACTCAAGTTTTTAATAGCATTTTTCTCAATTCATCGACATTAACACGTGTGGTTGAACCTTTACTGCTACATAGGTCTTTCAGGAAACTGCTTATTGAACAGAATGTGTTACAGAACAAAAAAAGCAAAACCCTTCTCTTTAAAAAGAAAGGTAAAATGTTTGTCTTTTCTGACCATTTGCATGACACAAATGTCTATTTCACGGCAGCCTTGCCAGAAGGTGAAAACAAGTCAAATGTCCATCAAATGGTGAATAAACATGATGTGATAATAGATCCATATAAAATAATAGTATATTCTGCCACACAAAGAAATGAAGCACTGCTTCACGCTTCAACATGGATGAACCTTGACAACATTATGCTAAGTCAGATAAGTCACTCACAGAAGACCACATACCGTATAATTCCACTTATGTGAAATGTCTTGCATATGCAAATGCAGAGATGAAAGTAGATGGCAGATTGTGGTTGCCAGGGGCTGGGGAGCTGGGACAATGTGGAGTGGCTGCTAATGGGCATGAGGTTTCTTTTGGGGGTGTGAAATGTTCCAAAATTAACACTGGTGATGGCAGTACAATTCTGTGATTACACTAAAAATCAATGAATTGTACTCTTTTAAAGGATAAATTTCATGGTATGTGAATTATATCCCAATAAAGCTGTTTTTCTAACGCACACATACACCCCTAAATGTAGGTGGCAGTTAGATCTTCCAGAAATTAAAAGTGGCCTGAAAACATAAGTAACCTTGCAAACCTCTTTAAAAATGCAAATTTTAAATGCAAATCTGATCACATCACTACCCTGCTTCACAGGAATCTTACGATAACATCCAAAATGCTTAATATGGCTTATAAGGCCCTGCACAATTTTTGTCCATTCTGTGTCCCCAGCCTTACCTTGTGACATTACCTACGAACCTATCACCCCTGAACCCTCACTCCATCACACTGCTCTATCCCTTCATTCTTTTTCTGGAAGGCCCCTTTCCTGTGGCTGTCTCACATGGTATTTGCTCTGCTCCCCACTTTTCCCACCACCTAACCCACTCCCTCTTCACCTGGTTCATTCAACTGCAGCCTAAATATTTCCTAGGTGTATCTTCCCTGAAAAAGAAAATATACCTAGCAAAGGCTAGACTAGGCCCCCTGTTCTAATACCCTTTCATACATCCCATTTGTCCCTTTGGTAATATTTACAATCTCTGAATTGAAAAATTGTAGACAACTGCATGTTCCCTGTCTATCTTCCCAGGTGGATTGTGAGCTTCATTAAAGGCAGAGAAAATGAATGGCTTCAGTGCCTGGCACTGATACAGACAAATGATATATGTTCATCAACAGGCAGTCTAAACAGGTAGAATTTGGAGTTTCTAACAAAATCCTAGAGGAAACCTAAGGATAACCACAGAGACTGCTGCTATGGGGTTTGTGTAAATTTCTCAAACTCTGCAAGGCCTTGCTTAAACCTAATTTTGCAAACAGTGGTTAAAGCTACCCACTCACCACAAAATTGCATTACCACAAGCAAGGAAGCAAGCAATGAAGAAAGACACCAACTGAGCACCTATCATGGACCAGGCACCGAGCCAAGTGCTTTACATTTCATTTACCACCTTGCAACTTCTGAACAAATGGGAAGCCTGGGGTCCCTAAGCAGCTCCAGCTGATTCAAGCTCCTGCTCCAGGTATGCGCTGTTTTTAAGTGCTTCTTTCAAAGAAGCTTCTCTTAACTCTACCCAGTGTGTCTGCTAAAGAAAAGAAAGCAGGACTATCCTGCCGATTAAACTGAACCAGATGTGTAGAGAGAAAAGATAATCTGGTCTAGACAGTAACTAAAGTCCTGTAAGCCAGGGTTTCTCAACCTTCATAGTACTGACATTTGGAGCTGAATGATCCTTTGTTATAGGGGCTGACCTGCACATTGTAGGATGTTTAGCAGCATTCCTAGCACTTACCCATCAGATTCCAGTAGCACTACTCCAAGTGGCATCCCAAAATGTCCCAGGCATTGCCAAATGTCCCCTGGGAGGCAAAATTGCCACTGCTTGAGAACCCATACATGGGCTTACCCACAAAATGTCACTGTATTGACTCTCTAATAGTGTTTCCCACTATCCCAGTTTAACTATGGACTAGGGACTTCCGCTGATTGAATTAAAAGATGGACTCGATAGCCTGAGGGAACTTACATTCCAGAGGGAAAATAAAATCAGAAACCAAAGGAAACAAGTAATGTGACTATGATCTTGGCGAGGAGCTTCAGAACCTTAAAGGAGGAGTCACCTTGCCCTTAAGGTGAAATACCAAGGAAAGGGAAAATCAGCACATGAACCCCTATAACCCAATGGGCAGGCCTCTTCCTGGTTTCACCTCTCTCCAGACAACTCAGCTTAGATAAAAAGGTACCCTGGGGTGGGGGCAGTGGCTCATGCTTGTAATCCCAGCACTTTGGGAGGCCTAGGCGGGTGGATCACCTGAGGTCAGGAGTTCAAGACCAGCCTGATTAACGTGGAGAAACTCCGTCTCTACCAAAAATACAAAATTACCCGGGCATGGTGGGACATGCCTATAATCCTAGCTACTCGGGAGGCTGAGGCAAGAGAATCGCTTGAACCCAGGAGGAGGAGGTTGTGGTGAGCCAAGATCACCATTGCACTCCCGTCTGGGTAACAAGAATAAAACTCTGTCTCAAAAAAAAAAAAAAAAAAAAAAAGCTATGCTGAGCTGGCAGCACTGGGTGGCTTGTCTGTAGGCTCCTGTGTACTTTCAAGCAGGTGGGTTCTTTGTTTGTTTGGTTTTTTTTGAGACAGTCTTGCTCTGTCACCCCGGGTGGAGTGCAGTGTCTCCCAATCTCAGCTCACTGCAACCTCTGCTTCCAGGGTTCAAGCGAGTCTCTCCCAAATCACTGGGATTACAGGTGTCCACCACGCCGCCTGGCTAATTTTTGTGTTTTTAGTAGAGAGGGGGTTTCACCATGTGGGCCAGATGTGGGCCAGGCTGGTCTTGAACTACTGACCTCAGGTGA